TAATAAATATTAATTTTAAACGGAATAGATGTAGGCATATATACACAATACTACGAATATGAAAATATCGTTATTTTTTTTTTCTTATTAATGTTATTTTTATGCATCAGTTGATTTAATAGAAATGTACAGATAATAAAAAAAATATATAAGTGTTATGTATATATAATTTTAGTATTATTACAGGTTATGAATTTTACACTGCTATATTTTCAAAATAAAATGGTCAATAGTTCTTAAATTTTTGTATAATGTCTATATTAGTAAATATCAAAATAGTTTTTCATTAAAATCCTATAATATATAATTTCAAAGAAATTAAAAATAAAAGTTAAGAATAGGATATTAACCTCAAAGAACACGTGTAAAAATTTGTCATTTTCAGTTCACAAATAGAAGAAAAGGTCAAACAAAAGTCAAGGTGACGTTAAAATAATATCAAAATAATATCATTTTGACATCATTTTATTTTTTATATAATTTTTGTTCTATTTGGGTTGCGAATATCTCAACTGTCGAATAATCCATATTTTTCTAATTGCGCCGATAATTAAGTCATATTCAAATCTATATATAGTGCAAGAGTTTCAACAAATTCTTAAAAAATTTTATTTTACTACCATATATATATATATATATATATATAAATTTTATTTTACTACCATATATATATATATATATGGTAGTAAAATAAAATTTTTGCACTTATCGTGGGAGAAAATAATATATATATATATACTACTATATACCATAATTTTATGTTACTCTATCTTAAGACGCGCGAAGATAAGACGCCCGGCGCGAGATCTTCCTGCTCGACGAGGAATCGCTCGCGTTCTGATGTCTGCGACTGTTTAATAAACATACACATGTACACATACGTGCGCGCACAGTCGATGGAAAAAAATTAATGCACTATTACGACGACGGCACTCCAGTGTTAGCATGAAAGACGACAGTGCAACGACGCGCGGTGAAGCAGTTTAAAATTGTCAATGACTCACGCCCTTATCAACGACGTATCAGGTATCACTAAATTTGCTAAATGTGAGAGTCTCAGCTTTCGTGCTTTGTAGGGAGGGATACGTCGTAACTGTTACAAACGTTGGAGGATACGTTGAAACGCTTTCGATAGATACTATCGACAAAGACACAAAATTAAATCCATCTCGAGGAAAATTTTCTTCAAACCGCGGTCTCTTCTCGTAACTTGGTTATGTCTGACGCAATATTCCGCATAGTCGAGTCGAAATTTTGGTTCTACACTGATCCTGCAAATTCCATCGATAAATCCATCTCAAACGTCCGTTAAAATTACAGACGTTCCATGCAATAAATAATTGGATGCACCTGGGAATATATGGATGTGCATACCCGCGTCCCGAGACATTCTGCGTTCTCCGTCCTGATTTTCTAATTCAGCACCTGCCGCGCTCCGTGATTCCACACATTCACTGGAGCACCGACACTCACGTATAAACGATTCGATCACAGAAGCGTACGTTAACTAACGAGATACCGACGAGTGTCTGAGATCAAATATTTCAATAACAGTCGAAATAAACACGGGAATCGTAAACAACGCGCCGATACGCGTATTTCGCGTCGCGATATGTGCTCCGTACGTCGACCCGGAACGTGGTGGCTCGGTCACGGATAAAATATGCAACGCACGGGAATGTTGAAACAATTGATACCTTCGAAAGAGAAAAAGTCACGCTGCCATCGCGAATCTTCATCGTCCGCCAATCAATGATGAACATATTCAGTGATCGAGAAATCATGACAATCAACGTTATCAAGAGATTCCAGATATTTGATATGATTGAAAATTATTAAATTATCAGATTATCAGGATGGTTATATGCACGATAAATATCGAAAACGTCCTCCAATAACATTCGATAATAGTCATCGGTTAATGTGCGATCATTAATTAACGCTACTTTTCTGATTGACTCGTACTTCTTCGTGCGGAGTTATTGAACGCCCGTCTACGATGACGATCAAGAGCTGACTCCAGGACGGAATATAGGACGCAGGATGCAGCGACAATCAGCTGCGGGGCTTACTTTTTTTATCTGTTCTGAGTCCTCAAAGTTTATCGAAATTTCTAACGCCAGTGGCAAATAATAATAACAAATGATAATAGTAAAGAGAGGTTATGAAAGAAGATAGTTTATTGCCTACTTACTCATTAATTCTTATTAGATTATTTAATATTTATTTATCGCACATTTATTTATTATTATTAACGAGATTGTATTTATTATTATACCCTTCAATATACAAAAGAGAGTGAACGTAAAATGTTTGTTTTTCATCATCGAGCCTAAATACGCCTGTTAATCAGATAAAAGGACATAAGTACGACCCTGTCTAAAACATTCTCTACCTGTGGTTGAATAAGTTACCTAATTAATATATTGCTCGTTGAAACTGAAAGTAAAGATTGAATGCAGGTAAATTATTGAGATGATCAAATATCGAATCATTTTTAAATAAATTCTTGAAATTTCAAGAGAACGGCAATAAGTAACTACATTCTTCTAACATAAAAAGACAATAACCTGTAAAGCGTTGTTGAAATTCTCTATTGGTGTTTTAAATTCGATTGAGAAGCGGCGAAGTTAATTTAGTACGAAAATTTCGACTCGGGTATATTTTTCAATTCCAGCCAGCTGCGCAGTCTCGAGTCGCAACGGGCATTTTAAGAGACCAACCAACGAAAGAACGAGTATTCGGGTATTCACCCGCGCCGAGTGAGCGCTCGAAGATGAATCATAAGAGCAGTTTCTGGAAATTCTCTCATTCGATGCCACGGAGCGTTTTATCGGCAAATACGAAGTCGTTTTCTCCACATGTTCGCGAGAAATAAATATTCTCCTGAAGTAATTGAGATTTTTTTGGATTCTCCTGTCTTCTACGTGCTCCATGTGTGTGCTTGTATGTAATAAAATGTATGTGTGTGTGTGAATTCATTTATCTTTCCAGATACGCGACAAGTGATCTCGATGGCCGGTGTGAAAATAATCGCCAATTTGTCGCGAACGATATAATGAGTAAATAGCAGAGCGACTAGCGAGACGATGGCACATCGAACTGGCTGTTAGATCGCGGTTTATAACTAACAAAGTCGGCCCGTCATTACGAACGGGTGGTAATAACGCGTTAGCGAAGTCGCGGCTCGCGTAAACTCTACAAAGAGCGCAACATTGCAGAATTTTCCGCATGGACGCTCTCGTAACAGCGGCGGCGGCGCGGTCATTACGTAGAAAATGCAATGCCTGCCGGGGAGCATTTCGTTTCGAGTGCGCGATATTAACGTTACGAAGACGTATCTAAGCGCATCAAAGCTGCAAAGCCGTTTTCGCCGCGTCAGCCTGATGTTTCGTCAGCTCGGCAAAAGATTTCTCCCAGTTGAGAAACCCGCATCTCTCCGAGAGAGCCTCTCGCGCTCGAGGAAACCTTCAATACCGAGGAAGTGCGAAACAGGTTTCCGCAAATTGTTCGTAGCGCGAAACCGTGCGCTCGAGAAATATAACGCACTCTATCGCGTATGCCGAGAAGCTAATTTTAGCATCTCGGGAAATTCGGCGGAAAATCACCTTTGTGCGCGTGCGCGCGAATCGACGCGAATCGGGCGTCTGATTTTGATCGTTTTAAGTGACGTTGATCCGCGCTCTCAACGTAAATATGTTGCCGCTACGTAAAAGGAACACCAATATTTGCGGGCTTCCGGCCTACATATAACAGCGTTGGTATGTGGAACCTCACGGTATTATGCCATTGCCGCGATAATCGAGAGCATTAGCCTTCCGATGTGTTAGAGCCATTGTTTTCAACGCGCGGCAGACATCGGTCGCGCGTCTCGGGGGACTGATAATTTCTAATTTTACAATATTTGTAAGAACAAAGATTACAACGCCACGGTGAGAGCGCACTATGCGCGGTTAGATTCTTCGAGTAAACTCGATCTCGAGAGGCGCGCGACCAGACGCGCCGGTCCGAGGGGAGATTTTTGTCAAGATATTCACGGAGAACATTTTCTACGCGTCCGGCACTGTTACGAAATCTCCCCTCGAAATGCCGATTCGCTCTATTTCGAAGCATTCGTGTCGGGTGGGATGATTTTACCGGAAAAGAAAGACAAACGACGAGATTCACGTCAACACACGTCAATGCGAATCGCGTCACTGCCGTCGAGATCGGTCGCGAGTATCATTCGTATCGAAAAGAGCTTTATTCGGAAAAAGTCAAAAATGCATTTTTCACAGTGTTTCTCGCGTGGATATCTAACAGCAAAGAGCGCAGCTTTTCCCGGCCATGTAGATACGAGAATGACGTTACAATGAAACGTTATAATAAAAACGTTTTCACACAGTTCTATTATTTCTACCGGGAGAAATTTCCGGCGAAATTCCCGAAAAATAAGGGCACTCCGTGGCAAAACGTTTCCTCTCGACACGAGTTGACGAGTTCGACGAGTGAGCGTTCGCGGGACTGTCGTTAAACATGGATACGTCGTAGAACTGTCTATCGCGAAAATTAAGTCGCACGCGAAACGGTTATGTCGGGTGACACACGTCTCGATTATCAGAAAAATGCGAAAATTCTCTGTCTCTCTTGGAAAAGAGAACTTATCGCGAAATAAAAGAGATCATTCGTGAGGAATAAAAAAGAGAATTCCTCCTCAAACGACCGACGATAAGAGCTCTTAGATACACAATCAGAGGCGCGAATGGGGTCAAGAAGAGTCCGAATTGCGGCTGCCGATGCGTATCTACTGATAACAGAACGCGAAAGGTCAACGCCTGTTTATGCGCATGGAACGTTCGGTTTCTCTTTTCCCCCTCCCGCCCCTCTCTTTCTCTCGCCCAACTCTCTCTTCGCTAAATAATAAACAAAACTGACCAACGTTTCCGCGGCGTTTGTTCTCGATTCAATCGCGATAAAAGTAAGAGTGCACAAGTGACGTGTGTATGTGTGTGTGAACTCACCGAGTCGGAGCTCGCCGAAGTTGCCACAGCCGATTTTCTTGCCGACCCGGAAGTTCGGGCCGACCATGAGCACGCCGGACGACGAGGTGACGCTGTGCCGGGACGAGTGCACGTTCGGTCGGCCGGCGTTGCCGCTGCCCTTGGACGGCCTCTTGGTGACCTCCTGGTCATTGCGCGCCCCGAGCTGCTCCTTGTCGCGGCTCTCACGGTCCCTCACGTGCCCTGGCTTCTGCATCTCGTACCGGCCGTTGTTATCCACGATTGCGAGATCGATACGATCCAACTGACGCGGCGCGCGGTCACACGAATGCTCACTACACGCTCGCGTCGACGTCGGCCACGCGATTAGACGACGGCGACGACGTCAATCCGATATCAGCGACGAGCATCGATCCCTGTGCAGGGCATACCTCGTGCTCCGGACAGCGGGACGGGTATACGACACGGTGGAACACGACGCGACACTCGCCGTAATTTCCGCGAGTGGAAAAGGGCACGCGCGGGCGCGGTGTACACTCGCGTAGGGCGCGGAAGAGCGCGGGGAACAGGGGATATGCCGAGGGGAGCTGGCTGGCTGGCTGACTGTCAGAGTTCGACGGGCGATGCCATCTCTCGGGGATCAATCCCCGTGCCAAGCCTAACCTCTCGCTTTATCGCCGATTTATTTCTCGCTCACGCGCTCTTCTCTCTCTCTCCCTCCCTCTCTCTCTGTATCTCTTTCTTGCTCACTAAAACTACCTCTTTCTTTCTCCTCCGCCTTCACTCTGTCTCCAAATGTTTACACCTTAGGAACGATAGATACGCAGGACGCCGTGGAAGGGTGCGGTGCGTCGCGGCGCGTCGAGGAAGCGTATCGATGCTGCTTGTGCTCCTCCTTCTTCGGCCGGCGCGACCGGTGGTGATCGTCACGGCAGCGGGAGGTACAGAGCGGTCGTCGCAGCGTTGACGAGCGTCGTCGGTCCGGACGATCCCATAGCAATTTCGGCCCGCCTCTCTCGCCCGGCGGCCGACCGGGTGGAACAGTCGACGACAGGAATCGCGCGGCTCACGCGACGACGCGGCGCACGGCATTACCGTGGCGGCGACAGCGGCGGCGGTCGTTCTCGTGCACGGCTGTGCTGTTGCCGCTCCTGCTGTTGTTGTTGTTGTTGCCGCTGCTGCTCTTGCCGATGCTGCCGGTGCTGCTGGTTCTGGTACCGCGAACGAATTTCGCGACCGTCGGCACCTCCATTACGCACCGCCGACCCACACACGAATTACGCCAACCAGTCAGCGAACGAACGAACGAACGACGGACGGACGAATGAGCGTGTGTACATACGCACGTACGAACGAATGAACCGCGTGTATCCGCGCGATCAAGATCTCAACTGCTCTTTACTTCACACTCCGCTCCGCCTCGGTCACCCGACACGACACGACACGACTCGACGCAACTTCACTCGGCGACTCGCGAACTCGATCCGGAGCACCTCGGGCCTCCCGTCCGTCGATTTCCGGACTGGCAACGCCAGGACCGCGAGATTCCCTAGAGCCCCGCGCGCACGTCTTCCTTTTAACCACCTACGCTATGTACGAGTACATACCCGCATTTTTGCGCTGTCTTTCCTCTGACGACGCGCGCTCTCTCCGCGCACCGAGAGTCTCTCTCTCTCACTCCGCAATCGCAATGTGCCAACGGAATGCCCGATCGCTCTCACACGGGAACGCTCTCTCTCTCTCGTTTCTTACCCCTCTGTCACTGCCGCCACGACACGACGCTCGCCGAATTCTGACGGACGCGTTCTACCTTGGCACTCTCTCTCTCTCTCTTTCCTTCGCCCCCCCCTCCTCCCGCTCCGTAGCTCCAAATTCGCGGACAACGGCAGGCCAGCTGCAGCAGGTACCGCGGGACGCTTTCGCGTTACATAGAGCCGCCCGCGCGCAATCTCACACCGTCGTACGATCGCACGCACGACACCCCGGGACTTGTCTCACCCGCGATCAAAATCTCGCGGACGACAGGACAGCGTTCCACGGGACCATAGGTGAATCGTGTTGCTACGGGCACCGGCAGGTCTGCCAATCCCGATTACTCGCGATTCGAGCGCGTCCGATTCGCCCGACGGCGCGTAGAAACCGGAGACGACGACCGGTACGGGCTAATCTGAAATATCGACGAGCGTGCGATAACGGTTCCTTACTTTCAGACGAGGTCGAACGAGACTTCGACGCTTGGCCACGGAGGTGGCCCTCGTAAGCACCGAAAATGGAACTTACCGAAATTATAACGGTGTCGACGTGAGAGATACGACGAGGAATGAGGGTCTGCACGGCAGCCAATCGCCTGGTCTCGTGGATGAATTGAAACGAGAAGCTGATTGGTCGGCGTGATAACGCGCCATTTGCGCTATGCTCATGAAATGCTCATGGTCGTTGTTGGCAGCCGTGACGCAGTCGGAAGCGCGCGTTACGAAAGTATATGCTTATTGCCGTCGACGATCTTCCTGGACGGGATGAGTGAAATTTCTGATGTCCCCAGCGATATCGCCTCGTAATTCTCTCACGTGTCACGTTGCGTCGAGCGAGTATGCAGAAAATAGAAAGACAAGAATCGGCGTCGATATGCGCACAGAGACGTAAATGTTACGTGTCGCGCGAGTGACGTAACGAGACAATAGTACGAAAAATGGCCGGCATCTTGTGGGCCGAGGATGAGATCGGGCGAAAGTGGGATCGTTGCTTCACCGATGCCATTCTTAAATTGGGTAATTATCCTCACCGTACGACCGTTGACGGCCGATCTGTCACCCACAATGTTACTGACAATATCTGTTCCTTTTTCCAGGCGGTGGTATCGCTCTCGGTGGAGTGTTTTCCTTGTTTTTCTTTAAACGTAAGATCGCTTCACGGATACATCTTCTTAACGGTTCTATGACATAATCAGAGTAACGGTCATCATCATGTGAATTGTTGATAGCAACGCGTTGAATTCGAAAAATAACATTTGCACTTAACCTAACCTAAAATTAACCGATGATAGTAGATTTCATAATGGTTGTAATTCTTTATAGATCGCAGAAATTTAATTGAATATGGATATGTATTTATATCAAATCAAATGTTTTACGAAAGTGGGGAGTATATATTTTGGAGAATTTTATATTACTTTCTTTCACATTATTTGTCAATTGTTATATGTGTGAACGTCATATTGTAAATATCTGATATTTTCTTTGCAGGAAGGAAGTGGCCCATAATAACCGGTGCTGGATTTGGGTTAGGAATGGCATACTCCAATTGTGAGAAAGATATAAACGCATCGATAAGGCAACAAAAACCATTAAGTTGTACACGTGAAGAAAAGAAATAATTATTAGGAGTTATTGTAAAACTTAAAGTTAAAATTATTATTAAAGTAAAGGTTGCCATAAAAATTGCAATAAATTAAATAATTATATCATAATTATCTATTCATCATTTAATCCTCATCCTTTTTTCCAACATAACACGGAACATCTTCATTGTGTTGTATCTCTTGTTAGTATCTTAAAATATATTTTCAATAAGATTGCTGTGTAAAGAAGTATATTTCTTGGTCGTTTATAATTAGTAATATAATGAGAGAAAAATACAGAACTATTTGAATGTCACATGTGTTGTATCGTTAAATATTAATATTTGTAAATATGTGTAACAATTATAGTAGTTGTATAATAAGAAAGTTGTATAATAAGAATAGAACGCAATCTTAGCTTATACATTGCTTAAAATTATTTAAACGCACATTTTACATTTGCGCGATAAATTCTCTCATCAGGTAGCGTCTGTCTGTATGCAACAACATTGGAAGTTTTGCTCTAAAACTGCATTTGAAAATATCCATCAAACAGTCCATAGTTTCACACTGAATACCAAGTGATCTTTTTATCATAATTGATATGTGCTAATAAATTATGTGATTATTTCTCAAATGGTCTTTGGTAGTTGATTTCTATTGACACATACAATCATTTGTTTAACATTTATCACATGGTTTCAGAATTCCAAAAATTACTATTTTGTTGGACATTCAATAATCTTTGTTATTTTGAGAAATAAAGCACGACTGCATATTAAAAATATACAGGAGGAATGTTTCATTAATTTTTAATCTTACAAGATATCAGTGCCACTAAGTTATTTCTAACACACCATTCCTAATACACCGAATTAAAGTAAATCTAGTGTACATATATATTTCAGTGAGAAATAATGTTGAAAATGCTCGGTAATCGGATCGAATCTCTTGTACAAAGACACAGATGTACAAATAAATATTAATTTTGGAGATTCTGAGAGTTTTCTCACACATACAGTAGCGTAATTCTTATTTTGGCACTTCTATGTGCCTGTAGGCTTTAAACAACGTGATGCCACAGCAACCGATAGAGAAATTTGCAAAAGCATACCGTGCATGACTTATACTTTAAGGTTGAACACCATGCCCAAGAATTGTTCGTAGTGGATTGTTATAACGCCATCCATATCTGTATCTAGTCGTCTGAAGGCAGAAGTTAAAGTCTGAAAACAGAAAATATTGAAATTAAATTTATAATCAGTAACTAATGGTTTACATCAAAATATATTTAATTTGAAGACTCTATTAATCAGCTGTGAAGAGTTACATATGAAAATAAAAAATGTATTAGTAAGAAAGTTTTTGCTAATAAGCATATTACTCACGTATAAGACTATACAGCACTGTATGAAGTCGTCAAAGTATATTGTACCATGTCCTGCACGATCATACTTCCGTATGAGCATATTGATTGTTTGATCACTGAGCCGGTAGCCAAAGTTCGTCAGAGCGATCTTTAATTCTTCACGATCGATATTGCCGCTGTTATCACGATCGAAGGATCGAAAACAATTCTCCCAATCAGTAACATACTTCCATAACGCTCCAAATTCCTCAAAACTGACAGTACCTGCTTGTTTTTTATCAAACATACCTGGAGAAGCAGGATCGGTTTTGTCAAACATACCTGTGTCAACAAAATTGAAGCACCAGATAACAACGATATCAAAAGACCATGCAAATTAACATTATACTTATATTAGCATATTTTAAAAACTAACAAAAAAAGTTAAGATTGTGTAACATGCTGTGTATAACTTTGGAAGATCAATATTGTAAGTCAAGCATTGGTGCTTCCAGTTCCAAGTGTAATATAGTCCTTCTAATTTTGTGCCAGGAAATTATTCATTCCTTAAAATGATAATAAAGGTGTATCTTTGCAGATAATAAAGAATAGATAATTGTGTGTAAAAATACACGATGAGTTTACATAAATTTACATGGTCATTTGAAAAGATATATTAAAAATATTTATTTTACCGATCATCAGACGAACAGTTTCTGGGTTAAAAGGAGTCCATGTGCCATTTGAGAGAGCCTGTTGCAATTCATCTGCAGAGATTGCACCAGATCTGTCCTTGTCGACTCTAATAAACAAAGTCATTACGTGTAACTATCAGTCAAATGACTGACTGATTAACATTTTAGACTAAATTTCCTTCTTATTTTGATCTTCGTATTAATTTTAACGATAATGTAACAATACAAAGAAGGAAATAAAGCTCGGATAAAAGAGTTGTAAATGTATGTGTCTTCTACAAGATACATTGACAATCATAAACACAAAATTTGTACAGGTTAAAAAAAGGCTCAAACACACCGAATTCTTTATGCTTGTCATGAGAAAGACGATTTCAGGTGTTCGAAAATATTTCTAAAAAATTCGCTTTAATCTCGCAAACAATTTATGAAGCTCTTCGAAATGATAGATAATATACCTTTGGAATACATCCCAGAGAAATTGCTGGCTAGGCATAGGCGACGTGAAAGACATGCTTTCCGTTCTTTGTGCGCAAAATAAGCGAGAACACTTCAGAATACTTCGAGCAAACACCAATTGTGTATATTATCTCTTGATTGGAACGGAAATGTCCGGATAAACGCGTGACTACCTAATGACTAATCGTTGTACGTCGAACTAACTCGTACTATAAAACAACGATATATTGGAACACGTCACTTGTTGCGATCTGACTAGTCGCTACCAACGTGTTGCGTAAAAACAGGTAACTTGACATTGGATGTTGGGTGCTGTGACGTCAAAATTCATAAGATCGTGTGGGTGTGTACATAGAAACCACCGTGCTATCGTGCGCCATTTTTGAAATATCCTACTGCTCACGAGGATAGATTTATTGTCCAAGTATCTTTAAGAAAACTTAGTTTTTCAATGAAAAGATTAATAGGAAATCTAATCTGATTCAGATGATATAATAATAAATTAAATTAAAAATAATAATCATAGAAGATATCTGTGTGATTAAGCTTTACAACATACTATACACAAATGTAATTCTATAACTAATAATAATAGTTTATTGTAAAAATATCTTTACAAAAAAAAGAGAAGATTGATCTGGTTGATCGCTTCTTGGCCGACTTTTTATGCGTTGATTCTAAGCTGTTTTGGTCCTATTTATCTTCCAAGCCCCAATTCTGTATCTAAGCCAGATGAAAAATAAATCTTTGCCCATCTGCAGCCAGCTCCAGAACGGTATTATCTTGGAGCCATCGATTTCCGTCCAGTTTACTGCTATTTCGGTTATAGGAATATTGATACTTTGCGCGATATAAAGCATTTCCACGTCAAAAGCCCAACGTTCAACGTGTAATGCTCCGAATATCGTTCTAGCCGATTTTCTCGTTAGAAGCTTAAATCCACACTGCGTATCCCTAACTCCTCTTACACATAAAAGCCAGACTAAAAAGTGAAATCCATGCATAAGGAGCAGTCGAAAGTACGATCGTTTTGCAGTCTCTTCTTTCTCTAAATGCGCTCTCGATCCACATATTACCGCATCGGATGATGCTATTTCTTCTGGGTTTTTCGTATAATCGACTGAAATAAGTATAAATATAACAATATTGAAACCTTCGTGTAAAATACCATTACTATAAGCATAGTATATGTAGCATAGTTATATGATAACATTGGTTTATATCAGGAATTGTAGAAAGTACCAAACATAACTTACATCCTGAAACATCTGTCAGACTCTCATCTAATTTTTCTAAGTCTTTAAACTTAGTGGCGCCGTCTGCATCTGCAAATAGCAAAGCACTGCCTCTTGCGCTCAGCATGCCCTTAAATCAAAATGACTACAATAATAATAACTTTGAATTATTAGTATGCTAATTTACTGTATCAGATTTACTGACCAGTCTCACAGCACCCCCTTTTCCTCTGTTCTTGACGAGATTTAATATCCTCAAAGTATTATATTTTGATGCATAATGCTGTGCAATATCTGTAGTTTTATCTGTGCTTCCATCACTGACTACTATCACCTCATAAGTAAGTCCAGATTTTGCACGGTTTTCTAAATACTCGAGACATTCGTCCAACATTGGCGGTACTGTTAAAAGCAATATAAATGTTAGTAATATATAAATAATATATATGAAACATATGTACAACAAATTTTACATCTGTGCTCCTCGTTATAAGCAGGCACAATGACACTGAGGTGTATGCTCCAGGCATCGTGCAATGAAGGAAATGCCTCTTTCGTTTTTGTTTGAGCATTAAAGAAGAATTTTTCATTCTCATCTCTCCAGATTTTAGGATATCGTTCGCTCGTTAAGAATATGTTCACACAGAGCTGAAAAATATGTAACATACAAAAGAAATGTACAATTATATTTATCCAGAATTAGCTCTGTACTGTCACAACTTTTATATATATATATATATATAACAATAATTATGTAGTAGATATGTGATAAGGTGCATTTTTAAAGGGAAAAGTGTAAATGTCAGAAGAATAACCTCAGCACATACCAAAATTAGAATAAATACAGCTAGTAATACAGCGTAACAGAGCAAACATTCCGGTGATGTCATTTCGACAGAAGGGAACACTTAGCAGTTAAAAAATGATGCATAAAAATTATATCGAGTAACAGACATATCTAATCTTTTTCCGTGTCGTTGATATGCACAGTAGCATATACTCATTTTCACCGGCTCTCTTTATACGTCATCAAGATCGAGGCTCATCCGCATAATTCGTACGGTCTTATCTGGAGAAATCGAGAGATCCACCAATCACAAATCTAAAATTTTAGTCGTAACCGTAAAGCCGGGTCTACAATAAGTATAGTTTCTTAAAGTTACTAATCTTATTGTAGACCCGGCTTAAGCAGTAAATAAATAATCGACGACTAGAATAACGGGTCTATTGTACATCCTTGATTTAGGTCCCTTATTTTCAATCGAATATGAAAACATCGAGGGTATAATCGACACTCTAACTAGAAGAAGACATCGAACATCGATGCATCAGTCGTGCATCGTCTCTGGTTGCGTTCCACTTAACGCTCGCAACAATCGTGAGCATCATTATATCCTTATTTCTCTTGCATATAAACAAAGACAGATGCTCGCGATCGTTGCGAGCCTTAAGTGGAACCTACTCTCTATCTATCCCTCTCTTTTCCTTTCTCCCTCCCTCTATCCCACCCTTACTCCCCCATTTCAGCTTTCGAGGTGTTGATCGGTGTTGAATGGTTTTATTTTGGGGATACACTTGACGATACTTTGGATAATCCTTATCCAAATACCTGCAAGAAGCTTACGTGCAATAGCGACTAGTATATTCTGTGCTTTCGTGAATTGTTTATTGTTTGTTTTGTCATCGGTGCTATTAATGATTCACAATTGTAGTGTAAAGTGCTAGTAATCTCAATTTATCCGAAGTGTTCCGATGTGACCCACGTTGAAATGGGTAATACATTCATAACATAATTGCGAGTGGTGTTATGAGTTCAAAGGCAGCGATATATTCAGGTTCATTGATACATCGAGTACCATTGGACGCATTCATGACTGGCACACGATGAATCGTGTCAACAATGCTCGCATTCGACATCCTAAACATCCTAACGTGTACAGGAAACTCCGATGACCGCCGAGTGATTCTTTGCTGACTGTGCTTTCTCTTCGGCGCTTTTAGGTTAAATATGGTAAGGGCACCATCACACACTCTCATATTGGATCTTGCGCTTACTTGTGTTGAATGCATTTTATTTCTTACTATTATATTGCAGGAGAATGCCTAGTATGTCGTGATAACAATAATGTGGCAATAGTAGTCATATTGTGTATGTGCCCTTTTAAAGTTTCATATTGCTCTAAAAGTTCCTTAGAATTATATATAATATTCCCAGCTTTTCCTGTGTAATTTTTCATCGCTATGAGGTATATTCTAGCTTGCAGGATACAACCAATGCATGCAATACAAACAAATCCTGAGCCTACACACCAGAAAGAAACCTGAGAGCAGTTACGCTAGTATTTTACTTTTCACGACTGTTTGATACGCCATCTGTACACATTTTTAAGAACTATTTCGTTCATTTTCTGGTGCTGCCGATAAGGTACTCGTTTGATGTGTGTCCGTGCTATACTTATAATTTTCACGAGTGAGAAACAGAGCAAGCTTATGTTCCGTTTAACATTTATACATGATATTTCTCTTTATATACTATTATGAACGTATTTGTACGTGTAAATATATACACATATGTGTGAAATATCATACACACTCCTAAAAAGAGAAAATCATTCTTATTGTGTATTAATTATGAATTCGCACAGATACAATAAAACGTAGTTAGTATAGTAACAGAATAAAGTAATATGCATATGTTGAACGTAATATTAATCAATTGTCCTTTCGACCGCACACTTCTGAAAAGTCGTTCGCACCGCAAACAGGCTCATATTGACCCTAGGTGATTTTCTAAACGCCATATCTGAAAAATGGGAAAAGGAAAGAGGCTGAGAAAATTCTAGAATAAAGTATAAGTATTCTTCTACTTTAATGTTTGTTCGTACACTCATAAAAAAATCAAGTTTCAAGTTACCGAAAAAAAATTCGAATTTTGACGCACTTCTCTTCAAACACAACTCACCGGGTCTACCTGACCCGTAATGCGATCGAAAATTTATGAGTGTAGTGCGGACACGCACCAAACGGGAACTTTATCGGCAATACTAGAATATGAGCGCAGCGAGATAGTTCCGTCTTAAAAATATGCGCGGATAGCGCATGAAACAAGTTAGAAAAAACGGTATCAAGTAAAACACCGGCGTAGCCGTGCTTTCTTTCTGCTACACACACATATACCACTATATGCACGCAGTACTGGCCCTCTAAAATAGTTCCTCGTGTTTTGGTAGATGGCAGAACAAATAATGCTTCACGGCTAGGCCCGTGCAATTCTGCTCCCTGGTTTCGTGACGTCGGAATGGACGCGAACGGGAACGGGAGATGCATTCCTCGTTCCTCGATAGATAGATATTCTTATCGGCTACCAGCCAACAGCGAAGTGAGTCGAATGTGATCGCGCTCGAATTTATCCCGGGGGATTTGTTTAACGCGTTTTTGCTCACAAACACGAACTTGCATTCTAACTTAACCTAACCTGTTCTTTGACAGCATTCCCATACGGCAGTTTTTATTATAATTTCATTTTGATCGAAACAATACTACCAAATACCTAGTAGCTGATAGTAGCTACAAGTAATATTTATAAATATACACTGTATATGTGATGCCATAGCCGTTCTCATGTATAGTTTATATATTACTTTACATTTCACTATATAATCCATATAAAATTTGTTTTCTTCGAGAGAACACGTTAGATTATTTCTCCTAGATACCGCAGTAAGCTTGGCGTAAAATAGGTTGAGTTGCGATCAGCAGATGACAAATTTTCTTTGCTCGCTATGCTTTAGCGATGACTGCTCGATTTTCTTTATATTCTTATCTTATTGTTTCGTCATCTTGTTATCCCAATTGTTCCAGGAAGGAAACAAGACAGATCTGGAGTTTATTTACGATGACACTGACGTATATGCTAATGAGATTGCAGAGTTGTATAGCTATACAGAACAGTATGAGTTACAACTTAACCTTAAGGTAATATTCCTTAGGTTTTACTTAAGATATTTCTTAAGCGATAAAAGTGAGCAGATTTAGTAAGGTTTATGGTACAAAGATAAATTCAATATTTGCTTTTGCGAATTGCAGGCATTCGAAGACCAGATGGAGTGGTACAAGTTACGACCTTGGTGGCAAAACTTGACGAGGCCGCAACAGAAGTCAGTGATCTACAAGTTGTTGGATCAACTAGAGATCTCTAATAAGCAGCTCAGAATGAAGGCTGCCCGATGTATTCTCTATTTAGCTCAGGGTTGTTGGGCTGAGGTACAGTCTGACAAGGAACAACAAGACTGGACTAGAACAAACGTAATGTTACTCTATGAAGCTGGCATTTTTCCAGCGTTTGTTGAACTGCTAAACATTGAGATTGAGTAAGATCACTTGCATCTGCATTTGCTAACACTGAGATGAGCAATTCTCTGCTTAACTTTTTTTCCACATTTATGATTATTTTCAGAAATAGCACAACTGCTACCTCAGCGATGAGAAAGCTAGCTGTTAGCCTTGCTGATTCGATAGATTTAAGAGTCATTCTGTCCGTTTTGTACATTATAACAGAAGTTATGAGGGAAGAATTGAAAAATATCGAGCAGAGCGATTATAAGGACAACGTTGAAGCTTTCAAAGAGGACCTCGGTATGTCGTTGTGTTTGCACGGTGCGCCTTAATGGTCGTTAATTTAGGAAAGCTAGGTCCTCGCAAAATACTAGTGGATAAATGTTTCCTCCGCAGTAAATCCGTACGGAGAAGAGTTACTGATTGTTAAACTTCTCGGCATGGTGACGTGCTTCTGCAGCGGCTCAGCGCCACATTTTCCCATGAAGAAGGTTCTTCTACTGCTGTGGAAGCTAATCCTGGTTTCTCTTGGCGGTAGCGATACGCTCAGGGAGCTGAAGAAGCTGTATCGCGAGGAGGCCGGCCTCGACGCGCAACAGGAGGACACTATCGAAGTCGCCAGGACTATGAGGGCCAGTTCTCCACCCATGAGCGCGGGGGACCTGATAGAAACGCAAAATCAAAAGAGGAACAACCGGCCGTTACGACGGGTAATTCAACGTTGATCTGAAATTACCGTGTATATCTTTCGTCGATGCTCGTCTAAATTAGAACAGGCTTTAAATTGTCGAATATTTTCCAGAGTCTAATGAAACAAAGCTCGTTGGACGACCCAGGCTTGGGTATGGAATACGAGGGAGGGGAATCTGCGAACAATACCGCAACGAACGAGGGTGACGGCGAACTGATCGTATTCCTGGGGCCCGGCGGACCCGGTGGTTGGAATCAGACTTATTACGAAGATCAAAATAACCAGTCGCAATTAAGGCCAAGCACTCCGCAGCTTATAAAGGAAAAGGGTAAGATCTCACCTTGTCTTTTGTCAATCTGAACCCGGTATTAATGTCCGGTGTCATTCGTCAGGTTTACCTTGGACACCCAAGGTGAGACAAAAGGACGTAGACAGCTTCCTGGAGGTGGCGAGACTGAAATTCGTTGGTTACAAGTTACAAGGCGACAGGGAGAGCTTAGCGGGCTTGCCGCAACCGATTCACGAAGGCGTCACTACCCTGAAAAAGGTGTGTAAGATTTCGACGTTTCAGCCTGCGTTCGACTGCATTCCGACATCCGACTCCGGTATACGACTTATTGCAGACCAGGCTTTCGACGAATTGCATACCGTTGTAAGAAGTGTTCAGGAGAAAACTGAAATAGGAAAAAAGAAAGAAAGAATATTGCCAAGTCGGCATTACGTTTCTAAGTTTCTAAGTTTGCTATTGCGATAAATAGTCCTAAATTAAAGGAGAGGAAAATATTTAACGAAGAGACCAGCGTGTTTTATCACGATTACTTCCGGCGAAACGTATATGACGTTTCGATTTTTTTTTTCTTCGTATTTAATTCGTGCAAATGCTTGTAGCCATTTCTCTATATGTTTTTAGTATTTTTCGTCGTGGTATCTCATACGGCACATCTACCATACTGATTACGATGTATTTTAGCACATGTACACATCCCTAGCTGAAATTCAGATACGGAAGGAGGAGGAGATAGCGAGGAACCCGATGAGTACTCCAGAGCCGCCGCTTCGTCAGACACCGACCGAGATTCTGTATCAAGCCATATTGCCGAATTTACCACAGTATATGATCGCGTTGCTAAAGATATTGTTGGCCGCTGCGCCAACTAGTAAATCTAAATCGGACAGTATTAATATCCTGGCTGATGTATTGCCGGAAGAAATGCCGTGAGTATGAACAACAATGCGTTCATCAGTGTGTGTGTGTGTGATAGTAATCCGTCATTTTTCCATATAGAATGCCAAATCACTCGGTTCCTTTAACTTACCAATATCGTTTTACGGTATTGGAGTATGCTTAGTAATCGTGTCTTGTCGCGTTTTTAGAATGACGGTGCTGCAGTCGATGAAGCTAGGAATCGATGTTAATCGGCACAAAGAGATAATTGTTAAAGCCGTTTCTGCAATTTTATTACTGTTACTCAAGCACTTGAAACTGAATCACATATACCAGTTCGAATTTATGTCGCAGCATTTAGTGTTCGCCAATTGCATACCTCTCGTATTGAAGTTTTTAAATCAGAACATTATAGCTTACATCGAAGCGAAGAATGTGTAAGTACAAATGCAATTGGTAAGTCGCGAATTTTCGGCTGTGTATGGCCGTCGTACACGTAACCGCTGATTTATACCGCTGCAGTATTCCTATTCTGGACTTCCCCATGTGTGTGATCGGCGATCAACCGGAGTTAACCACCGAGAGCCTCGAGATCGGTCACAGTCAGACCTTCTCCTGGAGAAACGTCTTCTCTTGCATCAATCTGCTAAGAATTTTGAACAAACTAACCAAGTGGAAACACAGTAGAATAATGGTGAGTCGGCGAATAACGACTATTCACGTCCACGAAGTTATTTGTACGAATTTACAAATAATACGCGCTCCGTGCGTTTGTTCGCAGATGTTAGTTGTTTTCAAATCAGCACCTATTTTAAAACGCACACTGAAGGTCCGGCACGCGATGATGCAGTTGTACGTCCTGAAACTGTTGAAGATGCAAACCAAGTACCTCGGCCGGCAATGGAGGAAGACGAACATGAAAACCATTAGTGTAATTTACGCGAAGGTTCGTCACCGTTTAAACGACGACTGGGCGTACGGCAATGGTAATTAATTAATTTGATATCTTCCCGGCGAGAATTCTACTGAAAAATTCACCTGATGCGGTGTGTGTGCATATGTATCCTGATTACGTGTGTCGATCAGATTTAGAAGCGCGGCCGTGGGACTTTCAAGTCGAGGAGTGCGAACTGCGCACCTGCGTCGATCAATTCAACAATCGGAGATACTCGAACGCGCCGAGGGACGAGGAACTGGAGCCGGTAGACGCGTCAGTCACATCGGTGCTCGGCGCGAACGTGGAACTGACGGAGGAGTTCAAGCAGCACTACGAGTTGTGGTTACAGCAGGAGGTATTTCAGAGGAGCATCAATTGGGACGAACTGCTGGATCCTGCGGCGTGTGAAATCTAAGTTTTGTTATAAGTGTGAGGCGCATATAGAAATCGTATTTTCATTAAATCTCACAGACCTCGAAATGAAATTTCGACGTTTCTACGAATTACATGCCGTTGTGTGAGAAGTGTTCAAAAGGAGGGAAGAAGAAAAGTAGGAAAGAACATTGCCATGTCGACACTGCAAACGTTTCCAAGTTGCATTTGGTATCGCGGTAAATGGTCCTAAACTGAGGGAAAGGAAGATATTTAACGAAAAGACTAGCGTGTTTTAATCACGATTACTTCCGGCGAAACGTGAATAACGTTTCGGATTTCTTTTTGTATTCAATTCGTGCAATGTGCAAATGCTTGTAGTCATTTCTTTATCGTTAGATATCGCTAATTTTACGTAAACGTANCTCTCTCTCTCTCTCTCTCTCTCTCTCTCTCTCTCTCTCTCTCTCTCTCGTCGCAATGATAGAGATTTATCACCCGTTTTAGTCACAAGTACGCTGATTTTCCCGCCGTTGACGATCTTGATTTCCCTAACCTAAGTCACTGTATACCGTAAGCATAATTTACACGTACCAATACATCAAAGATTCGATTTCCTACATTTTATATGTTTTCTACACGTTCGCGACCCTCTCTGTCATGAGCGTCTAATACAAGTGAATACTCGGAGAGAATTTTAATGTACGAGTGCAGAGGCTGTCTTACTTCCTCTCCCGGGGTCTGCACCACTATTTTATAATATATATATAACTATTACATATAAATATTGGCATGTATCTTCGGTTCACCACTAATCATGACATCAATTTGTATCTATATATTCATGTATAGCTGATCTTATTGTATAAGGGAGAGCAGGATTTTAGGGAGCCGTGAAATTTAGTGTAAAATGCAGGATGATTGGCTATCGCTTACCTGGTACGCGTAAAATAAGGATTTTTCACAATAGATACACAGACACACATGCGATACATTCACACACACACACACGCACACATATACACACACATACACGATACTTGCATACATGGCAATTCAACTTTCTCTTATTTATAGTCATTGTAATTGGATAATCTCAAAAATCCTAGTATTGTATAATTTATGTTATTAAATATCTTGTACAGAATACGCGATTGGCATCATATTTAAATTATTAAGATTTAATAAAACTGATCTATATAATTAGGAAGTGTGCGAAATCATTTCTTCGCAAGGTATCTTCAGACCGAAATCGCACGATAGAAAATGAAACGTTTAAACTATCATAGATCGGATAGATAAAATAGATATGTGCACATAGATAAAAACACAGATATGTGCACATACATATAAAAAAAATATATATATATATAAAATTGCAAACAGATCAACAGATAGCTGTCGAAATTTCGGGATGTGACGATCACAGTGTCCAACTACGTTGTAGATTTATGCCAAAATTTGTACTTGGTGCGACATGAATCTCTCTTCACATTGACGATACGATCGAGGTCATGGCTTCACCCATTTGTACGAGCCATAATAAGCGAAATTATTTTTCTTTGCCATGTCGTCGGCTTCCTTCGGCCCTCGAGATCCGTATCTGAAATATTCAACGAACAATCAGATCTGTCGCAACAGTCGTGCGAGAAATATTTATATTCCGCTCTGCGCATAGTACTTGTAAAGAATTGGCCGGATTTTCTCTCTATCGATTTGGTGCAGCAACGGCGTGAATATACGCCACGCTTCGTTCAGCTCGTCGCTTCTCACGAAATGCATTTGCGATCCGCAGAAGACATCCAGGATCAGCCTCTCGTATGCGTCCGGCAATTTCAAGCTCTGCAAAGAATACGACGTGTACTTTAATCTCCTTTTCGACACAACTTGCACTTTATTATTAACCTTCCGAATGGCAACGTTTTTTTACTACCTTCGAAGTGATAATCATGGTCATTTGTGTTTTTCTCGATTGTTCTCCTTTTGAACTGTTCGAGAAAATCTTCAAAAATTATCGGGATTTTCTTTATCCTTCTACTTGAAGACCATATAGCTATTCTATCAACAATAAATTGTTAAGTATTTTATTTTTAATTCTTATAATGACTCGGACACAAATGACCCTGGTTTGCCACCTGGAGGGTTAAGTAGAGTCTCCAACTTCAATGGCAAATTCTTCGATTCTTACGCAGTTGCTCACCTTGTATCTATTGCTATAAGTAAAATCCAGTTCAGTTTCCTCCATGTCAAACGTGATGCCGGGCGACTTGGTCATCATTTTCACGTACAACGCTTCGCCCGGCTGTACCCTTATCACCAACTCGTTCCTTTTCGCCTTCCCGTCAAAAATATCTCCGGATACATCTTGATATTGGACTCGGACTTCAGCCTTTCGCTCGTTCAAAGCTGCGACACCATTAAAAAAGAAACGATCTTTCGTCCGCCGAGGAAAGGATCTTTTCAAATAACACCTACCTTTGCCGCATCTGAGGATAAACGGTACTCCGTCCCATCTTTCGTTGTTTATCTTCAGCACCGCGAACGCGAACGTCGGCGTGTTGGAGTCGGACGGCACCGTGGGATCATCTAAGTAACCCAGACGCGCACTTGAATCGTCCGCTTCAGGATCGCCGACGTACTGACCGAGAACCACTTGGTCGAGCTCGAGTTCCTTGATACATCGCAGAACTTTCACTTTCTCGTTCCTGATGTCGTCCGGGTGGCAAGAAACCGGCTTCTCCATAGCTACTAACGAGAGGATCTGCAGCAGGTGGTTCTGCATCACGTCGCGAATGATGCCAAATTCGTCGAAATAGCCGCCTCTACCCTCGGTGCCGAACGGTTCTTTGAAGGTGATCTGCACCGAGGCTATATTGTCCCGGTTCCACGTCGGGTTGAACACCCTGTTGCCGAAGCGCAGCGTCATCAGGTTCTGTACCATCTCCTTGCCAAGGTAATGATCGATACGATAGATCTGCTCCTCGTTGAATAGCGACGCCAAGTGATCGGAGAGCACCTTCGACGAGGCAGCGTCGTTACCGAACGGTTTCTCGATGATGATCCTCGTCCAACCCCTGAAAGTTTGTCGCAAATTTTTGCTTGAAGCTCTTTCGTAAGGCGAGTAACTTTTATTCGTCTGTGTGTGCGAGATAATCGGGTAAATTTATAGAAAAATTTAATTGTGAGTACTATGTAATATATTAGAAACTTGAAAATAATTTCTCAATTCATTTCTACACAGAGAAAAAGATTTCTTTGAAGTTTAATAAAACTTCTTTAATTGAAACAAATTTATCTTTTGGATTAGAACAAACAAACGAATGTTTGATTTAACAGACAGTATTGTTTGGTTTTTGAAATAATAAATTTATCTTCATATCAAATATATCTTTTGTGTTTTTATCCAAACATTATAATGGTTGTCACAAACAATAAATTATTTGAAAGAAGTAACACTATGCTAGAAAAATATTAAAAAACTTATTTTTGTTTCAGTAGAACACAATACATCTAATATATAATAAAATAATTTTTTTTATTCAAACCCAAATATTATTTCCTCAAAATAATACTGTTTTCTTTTATATCAAACAATGGTTTATCTTAATGAAACAATAACATTGTCATTTAAGCAAAATAATATTTGGTATTAAATTACGTTGTTTATATTAAACAAACCCAAGTCAAACAAACACATGTACCGAATTTAAAGAAACTTTTTTCTCTATGTGTAAATCTAAAGCTAATGAATCGCTTACTTCGGTGCCATGCAGGCATTTTTTATGTGCACCGTAACGGTCTGGAATACAGTCGGAGGTAACGCCAAGTAAAAGATCCTATGTGCGACGTCTCCTTCTTCGTATTTCGTTAATTCATTATTCAGCTTCTGGAAGTCGCCATGCGAGTCGTACATGCCGGAGACGTAATGATTCAACTTCCAAAATTCTTCGCATCTCGCCTTCTCATCTGACTTCACTTTCATGTACGGATCACATTTCTCACGTAGCTGTCCCAGCGTTAACAAAGATCTGGCGTATCCGACAAATGCGGTGGGTTTCGGCAGTAGATTATCCCGAAAAAGACACCAGAGGATCGGATAGATTTTCTTCTTGGCGAGATCACCCTTTTCACCATCAACATATATCTCATTAGTGCTTTAATTAAAATTCGTAAACGATACGAACGGAATTCAATGAGTAAAAATAAACATCCCAAACAACATTTATATCTGAAAGATGTCTCAAAGATATGCTTTAAAATGTTCGCTGCCAACTACGAGTATATTCGTAGTTGTTAGCAAACGTGTCAAATACCTTATTATCTAAAATACGTCTTTGCGATATCTTAGAATGTCGACATCTTAATGTTATTATCTGGAATCGATGTTCTCCATAAAACCGTTCGTTGAGAAAATATTTACAAAATTTATCTCGATATTTGAAAGTAAAATTTCCGGCCGATTATTCGCTTTCGAATTTGCAATTCGTCAGCACAGCTCCATGTTGAAAAAAATTCAGTTCGTGTAACTAATTTTCTTTTATCTGGGAGAAAAAATATTCGGTTCATGTAACTTTTTTGCAGAGGACTTTCTGAGGACCAGACTCGATGATAGGAACAGAAAGATCCCAGTAAACAAGAAATCATTAACACAACGTTATTATAATAACATTTTGTAACGTTATCAAATATGTAGTTCTTAATGTTGTATATACAACATGTTGTATACAACGTCATTGTTAACAATATTTGACCTAAACATTAAAAATAAAATTTCTACATTATGATTCTAATATTTAGAAATATTATATTATCAATTAACAGTTTAAAAACATTTGTAAAATATTACGTCAAAATGTTTGTCAAAATCCACATAAAATTAATATTTCGAAAGATTGCTTTAATGTTTCATGCTTACTGGGATCCCTATAGAAAATTTCTATTTAATCAAATATTCTCAGTTATTTCAACGGAATTTTAACGCAACCTGAATGACCAGTTATATCAGTGATATATTTCCGGTAACAAAGATATTATTTTTCGTCGAGTTTTCGTTTGATTCCCATTCTGTTACACGAACTGAGACCGGTTTTCTTTGTATTCTAAATTGCTCTTCTCAAATTACAAACTCACAGATGCTCCGAGGATAACAAACACATGCGGAATATGCCTATCGAAGTGAGTTCCTTCCAGATGATCCATTTCATCTGATTTCAGGGATTGCCTGATGTACTGCAGGCTCTCCTCCGTCGATGTCTCTGCGGAATTGTTAACATTGAGTATTGATGCAATCATACACCGGTGCGTTACATTTGATAACGTACATTATGCTATTTTCTGGAATTTGGTAATGTACATTGTGCTATTTTCTTATGTAACGCATGCTTCATCGAGATATATCGTGAATCTATTTTGGGTAAACTATTTTCACCGAAGAAAGTTGCAATATGTATTACTCCGTATTTTTAATGCCTTTGGAATTAATGATTCAACGAATAGATAAATTATACGAATGACTCCCAATGTATTCATTACTGAATAAAAAAAATCAACTCAAATTTTAGCAGGAAATTCTACTTTCCTTAAATTAGTAAAAGCAAGTTTTGCGTGAAAACGTAGAAAAAATGAGCGGCACATAATGTTACATAATGTGACGAATTATCTTTATCAATACGATTAAATATCGTATTGATAAAGATAATTGCCAAAATAATTGTCATTATTATTACTCAGGAAGATAAGCAACTTATCGTTATATCGACCATTGGCTGCGTAAAAAAAGACGTAGTAATATTTTCTTTTGAATATTGCCATGCAGTGCTTTTAAACTTACAGAATTGTAATCAATGTATTTATAATTCATATAAAATTAACGTTACTAATGGCGACACCATTTTATTTGTATCGTAGTAAACTCAAATATTTATAAAGATCGGTGCGTTGGAGCATAACGATATTTCTTGCATATTGAATTATATAATTTCTTGATTTCTTGATGTGAACAATCGTTACATCGACTACATTGTACGATTACGTATCAACCCAGTGAACATCGATTAACAGTAACATAACATCGATGTTAATCAGTAATCTTCTATTTAACAATGTAACTATTACATGACACACGTGTTATATTGAATTTACATTGTTGAATAGAAAATTAAATATTGATGTTATGTTACTGTTAATTAGCGTTCATTGAGCGAAATGTCGTTAATTCAGTTAAATCGGCTTTATTCTCATCGTACGTTCAATATTAGTTGCGTGATCGCGTGATTTTGTAATTTCTATTTTCTGTTTTGACTCACTTGTAAGAGATCGGCTACAATGTCATTCCAACGTGAAAATTAAACGATGCATGTTCAAATATGCGATTATAACACGGCTCTTTGTTGTACAATAACATAACACAAAAGATGTCTGTCAAAAAATATAAAACTGTCGTAGAAACAGTCATCAACAGTAACATATTCTTATTTTCCTTTTCGCGTACGTCTGTACAAGATACTTGCGGAAGAATTTGCCTATCGCAGCTTAAATTTTTCTTCTTGTCATAATCTTCACGTAAGATCGATTTTTCTTAATGTCTGCGTAAAAAAAGAAAAAAAATTATCGTAAATTATTTTGTACAATTTCAAATCTTAGGGAAGTTTATTTCGACAGTTATATCATGCACATATGAGACCGATATCTCGTGCCTCAGGAACCGGAAATAATTCAGAAAGGAAGCATAACTTCAACGCGAGCCTTCTAAACAGTTTTCGATTTATTCGCGAATGGCGCGATACTTTTTACGTAATATTGAAAACTTTTCCATTAGACTAATACTTCGAATCTGCCAGGTTTTCGGTCGCGCGTTGGCACGAAAAGTAAATGTGATTTCGCATCTGAACTTACTCAAGAAGTTTCTCGGAGTTCCCATGACTTCGCAAATCGCAAAGTTAAAAGGACACTAAATAAACCACGAACTCGACTAGTCGTGAAGGTTGCTTTTCACTGATCTTCTTCGACAATCCGGTTAGTTCAACTGCGAAACAACGACTGAGCGTTGAGTCGACCTGCCGTTTATCTTCGTATCCTTTGGAAAACATAAACGCTCGCAAGGTAGTCATTAACCAAGCTAGACGAGTTGCTTAAGCCAATCGCTCTTCGAGTAACACGGCGTTAATGTCCCTTTCCTCCTTTCCCACAAAAAATAGCTTTTTGCATAAATGCATAGAAATGCATTTTCATGCATCATGCAGATTTTTACGCGAGCTCATAATTAACGCCCATCACTTTTACCATTCGATCTTAGAAAAAAAGAAGGAAAAAACAGAAGTTACCGACGATCGGTGAAACCGCGCTGACGAGCAAGAGATACCTGTTCGCAAGCTAATCAGACGCGTATCGCAGCCTGCGATACGCAGAACATGTAGAATGACGATCACGCCACATTACGTAACAACGTGTTACGCGGAGATGCGATGTTCAAGGACACCTGAAACTGGACGCAAAAAAAATAACGGTGCCTTCTCCAGATGCATAAAATGGATGTAAATCGATGACCGTAAGGCGCCGGTTCTTTCCTCCTTCCTCTTCTCTCTCTCCTCCTTTTTCGTTATCCTTTTTTTCTCTGTATTATTTTCTCATGAATATCTATTCTTTTGAAGACAGTACTATGTTTTCTGGCTACACAAAAAAGAAAAACTCGGTTCGTGTAACGGAATAATGAGATGAATAACCGATGAAAATTCAATTATGGCATCTCTATTTGCCTGCATTACAAATTGGCTGAAAAACATAAAGAATAGAAGACTTCCACAGGAATTTTTCTCTTACTGCAATCGAATTTTCGTTTGGTCCCCGGACAACAGAAATTCAGGTCTATTCACGAACTGAGTTTTATCTTTTCCGTGTAACGATGTCTCCGGCGACGATGTGAAATCGTCACGTCAGCCGAAATAATGACAATCCAAACGTCATTAAATTCCAGCGCTATTGGATGCTTATTACGTCTCTGTCCACACTTTGACATTACACTAATACAAGTTAAAATATGTATTAAATTAAGGAAAATTAAGAAGCAGAATACGAGTGTGTTGACTCCAATTGATCAAAGTTGGACGATGGCAAAAAATTCGCCGGTTAGAATGACGAAATCATAATTTTCTCCGTCACGGATTGTGCGAATTATTTTGCAATATTTACAAAGCTCGTTCAAGTTTGTCAATTATGCGAGGTTGATTTTTATTTTCTATAGTTTTGAAGGTTCGGAAAAACCGGGATTTTACCCATTTTTTCGCGAATGTCTTCAGTTTCTTATATCTTCTTTACGGAAAAAAGATAAATGTGATAGATTTTAACTGAACACACGTGAATTTTTCTAAATGAATTTTTCTACTCTTAAGACAGAAACCGAAGAAATCTTCGGAAAAATGCCGGTTTTCAAAATTATACTATCTTCTATTTAGATAAATTTTCTATCTCTCTAAATAGATAGAACTAAGAGTGTTGAGTAAACCACTCAAATGACGTCTCTATTCGAAACATTCCTTCTCTCTGCCGCTCTTTTTAATTATATTTAAAATATATATTTTATTATTATGTAACAATTAGTCATATCTATACATACTACATAACTTTCCTCTTGTAAAGCGAAGATTAATTTGCGATCTAATGTTTATTTTTCCCAAAGAAAATAGAAAAGTCAAAATAATGTCAAAATGATACCAAAATATGATCAAATTTTGATTCGTCAAAATGACATCAAATTATATAAATAAACTTTTGATGTTTTCTTGACCCCAATAAAAATATTTTATAATCAAAACTTTTGGACTTTTTCTGTATATTGAAACTTAAAGAAAGAATTGCTGAGACTTTCTAATATACACACAGAAAAAAAAAGTTTTCACTTCACTGCTATTCGTGATTTCAATTCCGATGGAGGCAGGTTACTCCTCCATCCAACTACTAACCACGGTCACTATGTTGTTTTACTTCGATGAGCGGACGGCTTGCACTGAGTGCAATGGCTCTGACGATATCCCTGTTTATGACTTATGTTTATAAAATGTATGGTCCTCACAAAACATTGTAATGACATATTCACTAGCAGTCATTAAAAACAATGCAACAAGAGATGATACACAATGCAAATACCGAAAATTCTTATCATATACGCAATAACTTTATTTTCATAGGCAATAGAGTCGAGTGAAACTTCTAGCAATTATTTTCTTTATATTTTGAAAAAATAAAGTACATTCCACATTAAAATAAATCATTAAAATCGTTGGTAATAAAATAAAAATAAAATAGAATAAAAATAAAAATAAAGTAAAAAAATCATTATTGTATGAGAAGAAAAGTAAATATCTGCCAATTATAATTTAAACTGGAAATAAATTAAAACACAAATTTAAGACGCAAGCCTTAGAAGAAAGATTCAGATTTTCATATTTTTATATTCTTTTGATCAATTCTCAGGTCAATTCAGGTCAACTCAGGTTAACTCTTATGAATACTGATATTCGAATGGTTAAACTATAATTTTTATTTTTATTGATTTTATATATTCATACATTTTCATTATAATAAGTATATATGCAACCGAGAAATATTCACCAGATTTTCTAAAAATCAAAAAGAAACAATGAGGAAAAAGCCAGTAGAAAGTCATTTTTAAGTCATCTGCTATTTAGATATCAATTATAATTAAAAATTGACGAAAATTTGGTCAATATGACATCAAATTGATATTATCTTGACTATTCTGTTCTCCTTGGAATGTTTGAACTTTTTAATTACTATATTAATTGCCCAGATGTATAGCTTCTCATGAAATTTAATGTTCCTTCCAAAAAACTGAGACGGTATCTTATTTTTCGTAACGAATATCATTGCACACTATACAGTTCTAATTCTTACATTTCTAAATTAATTATTTCTGCGAACACATATTCCAATTTTATGAATTTTTCTAACAGCACCCCGTCTGTTTAAACATTCTCTCATGCGTTTAATTTTTTTCTTCTTCTTCTTCTTCTTCTTACGTTAAGCCTTAAGACCTATGTTATCTTAACGTTTAATTTTATAATTGATTAATAATTTATTTTTCTACTTTTATCTTTGTTCTCTGTGCTATTCAATCTATATATGTTAAAGGGTTTATTTCCGTTAATAAAGAAGAATTAAAATTTAAAAAAATTGTACAGCTTCCTCTCCTCGTATACAAGTAAAGAGAAAAAAGCAGTTACTGTTACAAAATAATATATAATATGTAGTAATCATTTCTATAATGGGATTTCTAATCATTTCATATTATTTCATATATAAATGAATGAATGCTGCATTCTCTCTGGCATAGTAACGTCGTCAACGAATACGAGGCAATCAGCACTTGACAGACAGATAAGAGATGCAATTAGGTTTGTGCAAGATTGTTCCGTGCAATATGTCTCAGGACGTTAAATTAACGACGCGGACCTACTTTTTAAATTGACCTAGAATGAATCATCGCTGACTGCGAAACGCTTTGTACATAAGATTACGTTGCCTTCCTTCGATTTCGCAACGTCACGTTTCGGTTGGTCAATACGACACAAGGGCAATTCTTCGTCATATAACACTTTCGCCATTCACTTTTTCAACTCCCAATGTTCATCTGCGTCTGTCATCGAACAGCAGAGCTGGACATTATTCGAATAAATTTTATTCGATTGATATTTACATAAATTTTTATTTATTATTTATATTATATGTTATGTGTTATATATTATATATTATATGTATTTATATTATATGTTACATACATTATTTGTGACTCTAATATACGTAATTATTCGTTATTTGCATTATTTGTTATTCGTCATTTAATATTAGTGTTATTATTATTTGCATGCGCTCATCTGTGTACGTGTATGTGAACTCAATTTCATTATATTATTTTTATTAATATATTATATAATCACTATATTATTATCTCAGAAATATATGAAAACAACTTTTAATAAAAAATACTCACTTGTTATCTATAAAATCTATAAAATGAACGAAGAAAAAACAAAATAAATAATAAATAATGAATAACAAATAACTCGAATAACGAGTAATATGAATAACGAATAACACGAATAATAGGAATAACAAATAAATTATTTGTATATTCACTTAAATAAATTATTAAAATGAATATCATTATTCGATAACTCAGAATATAAGTGTTGTTTATAGATTTATTTATTATTCCAAATAAAATTTGCCCAAATCGTCTATTGTTAAAATTACCTAAGGAACATCTTAACGAATCGATATTCGTCGTAAATCCTGTCTAAGAGCTACCGTATGTGTACTGTACACTCTGTGATAACAAGCGCGCGTTTGTGTGTGTCATTATTTATAGTGCGAATATAATTTTTCCCTTGCAAATAGAATTTTTTCTCAAAATCGCACGAAATAGATCATACGATCTTATCGTCGTGTTTCCGCATAAAGTGACGATCGCGCGACTCGGGAACTCATCACGGGAATACGCGATTCCGCTGATTTCATTTTATCTGCGATGTGCTGAGCCTTTGCTCTTGAAATCACAGATATCGGAGCAGAATCCGAAAATCGCATGTTCAAAACACGTCGTTGGTGACTATATCGGTACACAGGATGTTAAATTGTTGTAAAATCTTATGTTTTCTATTATCTCATATTTTTCTCTTGATATCGGTCATCTATATTTATACAGATACTCGATCATGTCCGCCATTTCATCCTTGAGCACTTGAAAGAGCTTGAGCACTTGAAAGCACTTGTCTTTATATAATTACATATAGAATATATCCATATATAAAAATATATAATTATATATTGTCACTTCATACATATATATATGATGCCTTATATATAATTATATATATTATATATTTACATATAATTATATCTAATTATATATGGAACATATTTTCTTGGGTATTTATATCTATGTGTACATTTTGATATAAAAAAATTATTTTACATGTCACATTTCGAATATTCGTTTATCAGACCGTGAGATTTAAGCGCGCACCATTTATCGACGGACGCATTATGACAAGTGGCATCACATTCATGTGAAATTCTATTGCATTGTCGTGATAATTACTGCATTATCACGCAAATCTGTCTTATATGTTGCCTGCACAATGTGACGTTAATTTCAACTTTCGGCAAATATGGAATGCATCGTCCGCAACCAGATTAACGTTCGTTAACGTCAAACAATGCGGATTCGAGGGGAGTTGGAAAAATTGCTACCATGTTAAAACATGAATGTAGAAAACATTCCAAATTGTTGAGTCATAATTATTTATACCAGTCGCGCATACTGGAACGCTTAACGCATCGTAAAAAAATTAACAGAATTGAAGACTATGAGATCTATCAAACTACAATGGCTGAAATCGTTGTGAATTTGACAAATTCAACTTTTTACGTAAAAATTAGCGGCGTGGTTAATGTTTCTATTTCATATTCAGCGATAAAAATGATCGTCCGATTCTTAGTTCAATATTGTAACATTGCAAGCGATCTTCATAGAAAATAAAAATAGGGAACCACGTTTATAGTATCGTTGAGTACGAGCAACGAGTAGAGACGCCTCCATGTTTATTTTTAGCTGAAAAAATGCCATAAATGCGTAGAACGCGCTCCTTCGCGTCGATAATACCGAAGGAACAAATTCGCTTGATCGCACGATAACATTTTTGAAATGAACTCACTTCTTCTGTGTTCTGCCATCATTGCTCTTTTGTTTCACTGTGGAAATTCCTTTCACGCCCACCTGTTTGCGAAGGTTCGTCACTTTTCACGCCGAATAGCCAACGTTTTCGGACTCGGAGATGAGACCTTGCCGCCAAAACGATATCGTTACACACGAATTTGAGGTTAAGCGCGCGGAGTAATGTGCCGTGCTACACTAATCGCGCAACATTTTCCCGTTCCCTTAAAGTCCCCCCTCTCTATATTTCTCGGACCGAGATCTGCTGATTCCCCCGTAAGCGAAAATCGTCATCCGTATCCCCCCACATCGCCATTTATTTCGGCGTGATGATTTGTTCTGCAATTATTTTATTGCTACGATGGAAAACTACAGCGAATCCTGAGAATACCATTTTAGCCGCTGTTGGCATGATTTGCGCAATTTTACCCTCTCTACGCGAAACCTGTTTCTCTGCACTCTTGTACACTTGGCGAGAACATTTTTGCTCTCTGCAGAAAAGAAAGAAGCAAGAAAACCGTGCTGAGTCAAAATTTTCACAAAAACGGATCTACTTCAAATACTGAAAATTAGTCTGTATTCGCGTACCGTAAACTTGAATATAATGAGGTTTGGGCGCAATGCATTGTAATACTTGTATGTCGCGCGAATGGCATGAGGTTGGACGATTCTACCATGAGGTGCTGCCGTCTACCGGCGCGCAGTCATACCTTCATGTGTTATTAATAATATATACAGTTACAGCAGACGTCGTTTACGTTTGAGGCTGATGTATGTCTGTAAATATTTATTAACAGCTTTGAAATTCGCATTTCGCCTTATACAATAACAATCAGTTGTATATTAATATGAACAATTTTTACGCGTTCGACGATTCTTTGACTTTTATAACCTCACGAGAATCCTAACCTAACAATAAATGATCTCCGGATTTTGCATTATTTCACAGAAAGATGAAATTGACGTCGATTTTTAATAACTCCAGAAAACCCCAAAATGTGAATAAAGTGCCATTCAAGGCAATGATGTCGTTAGTCTTGAAGGACTACGTAACAACCAAGGATTACAAAGTAGCAGGTATTTCCTCATATTGGAAGTGCAATTTAATATTATTTAATTATTCGTAATAAACCACCGTGTTATTTTTTGTTTCAGACCGTGGATGTTTACACGAAATGTCCATGCTTTTGTCATGTCTCGAAGAGAACGAATATGAGGACAAAAATTGCATCCCACAATTTAATTCATTCAATGCCTGTTTCAACAGGTTTAATCACAATCTGCAAACTAGGAAGATTCAGTCTGGGAAGAAAATGCCCGTACCTAACAGTAACAACCATACACCTCTTCAAATCACATCACTCCTTAGAAAATTTCCGACAAAATAATGTTTTTCTTGTCAAGATATTCATATATAGTGTATGAACAATTAGAGAATTATATCATGATATAAATATAAAAGACACATATATTGTAAATACATATACTTATTATTATAATTACAACGGTGCCATCCTCATCTTCAACACATACACAGCAAGAAGCTACTTGTATTATAAATACTTTAATTATTATGATGATTAATTATTATTACGTACGTTATGTACGATCACTCAGCATTTGCAATGCCTATAATATTGTCTCGATTACCAGAAACAGCATTCAACCGCTTCAACGCAAGTCGTTTCGAGTAACCTGAATATAAAACAATTGGTTATAGAATTTTGATCAAGGATAATATAAAATACTAAATACTTACGAATCTGTTCAGTATTGTTGGAGACAGTTGTAATCTTCTGTATAACATCCAACTGTTGCTCGATTCTCTGTAAGGCTTTGAAGTTCTCTAAATGTCCATCTTTATAATAATAGTATGTACAGAATAATGTTATAGCAGAGTGTTAAGGCGATTTTCCTGTACAACCATGTTGTACTCAAGAGTTGCGCCTGCTATAAAAATGACCGTGACACTTTCCTCATGATAAAAAATGTCAAGTTTTCAAAGTAGAAATTATATTACCTTGTCTTCTGGGGATTGATACACGTTATTATAATATTGTACTAATATTCTCTCAGCCACTATATTCAAGCTTAAAATAGTAAACAGCGTAACTCGTGCGTCGACGGTTCTTCTAGAGGAACTGAACAGTGCGCAGAGAACACAGCTGACAGTGTAAAATATAATGGATTGAAACCAAGAAACTTCTCAAATAATCCAGTTTTGAAAAGTACGTATATAAGAAAAGATTTCATAGAGCAGTTCTTTCTGATCTTTAGCTGATTCTCTAAAATTTAAGTCAACGTATTCATGTTATATAAAATTTAGAATTTTAGAATCTACAGTAAATATTACTTAACTAAATTTTCAGATAATGCAAAAAGTTACATATATATATATATATATTTGTACATTTACTTGAAATCCAACACCATATTATTAACTGTCTCAGATGAAGTCTTCAACACAGACCCGAGTTCTTTACCATGATCTAAAAGCTCATTTTGAATACGTAACCCTTCCTTCTGGCTGTTCAATATAATGCCTTGTATTGCTGATGCTTCCAAAAGTTGGTCCTTCATTCGAGAAGATATTTGAAACAATCTGCAATTGCATATGTATATAAAACGACGTTATTTATATTATAATTATGTATTATATTGTACACTCACAATTTTATGGTATCAACTTCAGCTTGCCAAGCTTCGTGACTCAAGAAGAAGCAGATGTTGGTTGCGTATATGTAAAATTCATTATATACATTGAAGGCTCGATCCACCATGCCATTAATGCATGTACTATAAAACAGACAATATGTTAAATTATCATGAATATTGAAAAGAAACAGTTCATAAGTAGAAAATGCTTTATAAGAAATGCTTAATTTTACCGACGCTCGTCTTCTGATTGGCTAAGATGACAATCATAAGTGGCATGGCCAGAATCTTCTAAGAAACAATTTGCTAAATGCAAAGCAAGAAGAGAATGCTCGTGATCATTCAACTTGTCACAACTGTTTTTCAAAGTTTGGAGAACAGCATGCCAACATTTCCCATGTTGTGACAATGACTTTGCTGTAAGAAAACTCAATTTAATTTTCACATTAAGCATTCTTTTTCAATTTTTTACGTTTTATTTTCTTACTTTTCAGCAGAGAATATTCCTTTTCACCTAAATCTTTCAAAACCATGTTCCCAATACTGGCTGATATGTGAACGACAAAAAACAAAAGCCAGATCATGATAGGATTAAATATTGTGTCTCGTCAAAGCTCGTGTATTTTTAATAGATGTATATTAATACAGTCTTCCATTACTCCATCGGGCGATATATGTCGAGTAAACAAACGCTTTCTCTGACATCGGGATTTCACTGTAGAATGCTTCTACAACTATGTTGTATGCATATCTGTAACAGTTTCGGCTCAACAGGTGGGTGGAAAACCACAATTGCACAATCGACTGACGATAAAATTAATCGGAACTACAGAGAATTCATTATGCATGAGAGTCGGTAAAATATTTTTATTTCGGCAACTGTTAACGATTAACTGCGCACAATTATCTCGTTATCGTGCATTCAGGCTCATAATTATTTAAGCTACTGTCTAGTGAACGTAACGTCAAAATCTAAACGAATCCCGTGTTTCACAGCGACAATTCACACTGGTTTTGCATAATTGGTAAAGATCGAAATTTAGCTTACATGAATTTGTAACGGTCATTTTTAACGGTTTGGCGCGACTGAATGTCTGTCACAATTGTCACGAAGTCTGCTCTTTGCAACTACACTATAGCACACTTCTTGTACTTGAAACGAAACATATAATTCGTGATCTGGTAGGGAAGAAAGAGAAAAGTTGCGAGAAGTGCAAAGAGTGCAGCTAAGAAATAGAATTCACGGTGGCTCTGCGTACCCTCAAACCGACGCGTTTCCATCGCCGGTTGGCGAGCATAGAAATCGACTAACAGCGTACATCCAGCGCCATTGCGCGACTAATCCGAATACTAGAATCGGAATCATGTTGGCCATCTTACTGCGAATTTCTTTTTCTGTGGACGCGTTTAATACGCTTAAACAAGGTACGTTAGTGACTTCAAATATCGCTTGCAAACCCGCTCCGAAAATCATGCTGCTCTCCGATATATTCCCGAGCTACACAGGTACTGCATAATAAATGTACAATTACACAGGTATTATATTAATATTGATATCCTATCGGTATCAGGTATTCGAAACATGATTTTTCGTGCTACATTATTTATCCGCCATTTATATATCTCGTTTTGGTAATATACAAATCATTAGCCTGCCTTTTAATCTTCATACATTATATTTATTAATTAAATAATCATTTGCGAGCGATAATCTGCCGATCGCCAACTTTTGCATGACGGCGAAAATCAGGCGGAAATTACTGGTTTCGTCAATTATATCCCATCAGTTATCCATTTTCGATTTCATCGCGCGCGTTCTCGGCACGGTAGGGGGTTTCGTTGCTCGCGATGCCCGGTGTCGGTTTCAGGAGAGCATCGACACCTCATTAAGACGAAACATCCGAGAATGAGTTTGTGTCGAAGGCGTCGCCGGAAAGGCAAGAGCGCGGGTCGCGTTGGGGCGCCGCTGGCTGGCAGGCAGCCAACGTAGCTTGCCATTGAAATTCGGATGGACCAAAAATAAGCGAGCGGTCGGTACGGAGACAGGCACAGTGACACGGGTTCGATCTCCTCGCTCGCCTCTTAAAGACCGGTTTACCCGAACGAGCATGGCGACATTTCGGGATCATTGTTCGGCCGGGCTGCTCTCCTTGTAACTCGTAGGAAGACGCCAACCATCAAAGGCGTCGCCTTCCGGGGACACGGCATCCCCTTATGCATGTGCACGTCGCATATATATGTACGTTGATATATATATTCGTATATTCGGCACGTCATCCCATAAAAATTCGAAACTTAATTTTTCTATGGAACGCTACGTTCCTCGCACCGGGGAAATTTTACGAAAAAACCTGAGAAATTTTAATCCTACATTGAGTTTGGTTCAATTTTGCATTAAGGTCTTCTATTGTGCTTCTTTGATGCTGGAAAAGAAAAGAATTAACCTTAAATCAATGATGGATATTCTCATGTATAAACAAACATATTATAATCTTCTTAGAAGATTTTCAGTCTTGATATAATTGAATTTGTATTGCAAATATTACTTGCACTCAATTCAAAACTAAAAGTCTTCTAATAATATTATAATATTCTTACTTATACATGAGAATATCTATCATTGATTTAAGACTATTTTTTTCTGTGTATAAATGAGAAGTTAGTGTTGTTTTCTCTACTTAAAGACTTAATGTGAAACTAAAATTTAGATTCTAGAGGCCTCAACTCCCACTTGTAGCATTTATTGTGCTCTTTTAATATTAGAGTAGAACTAAAATGTAAAATGTGAAACTAAAATTTAAACTCTGGAGGACTATGTTCCCTTTGTAGCATTAAAGGAGCATTTATTGTGCTCTTTTAATGCTACAAATGAGAATTTGCTCCCGTTTTCTCCACTTGACTCAAGACTTAATGTAGGATTTAAAATTTCGACTCGGAGTGATTGGATCTACGAAGGATCCTGCGTTATGCGTATAATATGGTCATGGAATCAGACCAATTTCTTCTCGTAAAAGAGGGAAAGAAAAATAGAGAAAATGTAAATAGATTTTGGAAAATGGAAATATACGAATGCGAGATCACTGGAGCGGACGTAGACGCGAACGGACGTAGAATGAGAAAATATTTGGACATCCACGTCCACGACTATATTTCGAAATGTCGTCCTTTACAGCTTCCCGTCTTCCGAGCGAAGGGAAAAACACACGCATGGGGAGAGTCTACGCCACTGATCCCGCGTAAGCCGCGAGTGACTTACGATAAACGATTATGCCTCCCTTGTCTTTTACGTTCATCCTCACTGACATTTGTCACGGCGGGAATATGGACAGACTCTTTGACAGCAGGTCTTAATGGACTATCTCCATGACTAGTGTTTCACGGTTTTCGACATCAGTAACCCCGTAATGATTACTTCATTGTTGCCGTATCGCTGCCGACGAACCTCTCATGAGACGATCAATCGCGACCGAATAGCCCGACCTAACATCGTCTCCACCGTCTCCCACGTTCTCCCCGTTCGTCGCGTAACTTCTCCGGATTTCCTTTCTCTCTCTCTCTCTCCCTCTCTCTGTCTCTTCCTTTTTTCGGCGAATCGATTTCTTTTTCTTCGACCCAGCGAGACGAAGGAGCATAATTTAACGGGGCGACAGCGCGTATAACTAAAATTATCGATATTCCGCGGTGTGAACAAATGATCAAGCCTGCGCGACCATCGATCACCGCGAGGGAGACGCGATTCCGCGTCGCACGGATTAAAATACGAGGAAAAATATATCGCAAGAGAGAGAGAAAGAGGATGATCGCGCGAGAGGAAGGCGGTGAC